AAACATGGATAAATTTTTTTTCTAAATTTTTATATTTATTACAGGCATTAACATGTCTACTCCACTTTACAAGATCTTTAGAGAAAAGTGCTGTTCAAAGCTCTATTATGCCACTTGCCAAACAGCACACTATGTAAACAGCCAAATATTTAAGCCACTTTTCAGTAGTTTCTCCTGGCCAGAGACATAAAGATATATACTTGTCTTTAGTCCAACTTTATTTCCAGAGAAAAGTAAAACAGGCTGGGCATGGTGGTTCACACTTGTAATTCCAGCACTTTACAAGGTTGAGGTAGGAGGACTTCTTGAAGTCAGAAGTACAAGAAGACCATCCTGGGCAACACTGCAAGATGCAGTCACTATAAAAAAAAAAATTAAAAATTAGCCGGGCATGGTGGTGCGCACCTGTAGTCCCGGCTACTCTGGAGAGTGAGGCAGGAGGACCACTCAAGCCCAGGAATACCAGGTTCCAATGAGCTATGGGTGACAGAGTGAGACTCTATCTCAAAATTTAATTAATTAATTAAATCAAACAAAGAACCAGCAAATATTTAAACTAGAACACCTTCATTATAAAGATAAGAAAAATGAAGCACAAAGAGAATTAATGACTACTCAAAGTCAACCATACAGAGAAACATTAGGCATCCAAACTCTCAGCCCGGGACTCCACTGTTTTTCAAAAGCAGGGAACAAAATTAACAGTTTGCAACAAGCACTTTTTCAAAACACAAGATAAAATAGAAACCATCAGAGTAGACTGTACACACCAATTTTGTTTTGTGAAATTTCCAGTTTATTTTTACGTATACAGACACATGCATGCATACACAGTTGTTGCCGTTTGAGACAGGGTTTGGCTCTGTTGCCCAGGCTCTAGAATGCAGTGGCCATAGCTCACTGAGCCTTGATCTCCCAGACTCAAGAGGTCCTCCACCCTTGCCTCAGCCTCCTAAGCAGCTGGGACTACAGGTGTGTGCCACCACGTTTGACAAACTTTATTTTTAGCAGGGACAAGGTCTCACTATGTTGCCCAGGCTGGTCTCAAACTCCTGAGCTCAGGCGATCTTCCTGCCTCACCTTCCCAAAGTGCTGGGATTACAGGCATGAGCCACTGAGTCCAGCCTATGCAGACACAGTGTCTGCACGTTATACATGCATGGAGTCTTTTTTTTCTTAATTATTGAGACGAGATCTACCTATGTCGCCCAGGCCAGTCTCAAACTCCTGGGCCCACGTGATTTTCCCACCTCAACCTCCCTAGTAGCTAGGACTGACTACAGGCGCATACCACCATACCCAGCCATCTATGGAGTCTTGATATAAAAAGATCTCTTACTATGGATTGTAACAAAAAAGTTAAAAAAAATACTGCATTTCACACTCCCTGTCATCTGTCATGAAGTACTTCCTTTTATTTTAAGCAAACATAGCAACAGCAACATTAAAAAGACAAATAGATGGCTAATCCTACCTTATAATCTCTCATTCAAATCTCATTTTTGCATCTATTCAGTGCTCTACATTTTGTGCCATTATAACTATAGCTAAAGTAACTATCAACAGCAATAGCAACTAGCAGATAGAGAAGCTTTCACTCAGCCAAAGGTACTAGAAGAACTACTGCCTATTAGTCTCCAAAGGAATTTCAGCTAAAGAGGCATAGATTTACTACAAAAAGACACAGTATGTTCACCACAGCTCAGAGGTTCAAACAGTTCTCTCCAAAAACAAACCAAAAAAAAGTCCTCCACAGACTTGACCCCGGAATGTAATTTCAGGGGAAAAGGAGCATTCCTAAAATATTTTCTCTATGTAATACTCCCTGAGGTTAATATTGTTTGGGGGGTGGGGGGATTAACACAGAACACAGCCCCATTCACTCCATAATAAGGTCTAAGATTTAAAATGCACTGCCTTGAGAGAAGCTACACTAAAATTCCAGCTAAGATATGGAAATGAGTGTCAAGACATCAGATCATTTTTAGATGGCACATTTGGGAGACGGAAGAGAAGACAACAGCACTGAATATTACAAAAACAGATAAAAGAAAAATGGTACAGTGAGGCAGGGATAAAAACAGAAAATGTTAAGGCAAAAAGAAAACTAAGCATTACGCTACAGTAAAAGTTTAATCTAAAATATGGCCTGGTATAGTGGCTCATGCCTGTAATCTCAACACCTTGGGAGGCTGAGGAGGGCGGATCACTTGAGGTCAGGCGTTCAAGACCAGCCTGGTCAACATGGTGAAATCCTATCACTACTAAAAATACAAAAAATTAGACAGGCATGGTGTTGCATGCCTGTAAACTCAGTTACTTGGGTGGCTGAGGCACAAGAATCACTTGAACCCGGGAGGTGGAAGTTGCAGTGTGCCAAGATCGCACCACTGCACTCCAAGCTGGGTGACAGAGCAAGGCTGTCTCAAACTAAACTAACTAAACTAAAATGTACAATAAAATAAACTATGCAGGCTGGGCTCCATGGCTCACACCTGTAATCCCACCATTTGGGAAGCCGACACAGGCAGATCACTTGAGGTCAGAAGTTCAAGACCAGCCTGGCCAACATGGTAAGACCCTGTCTCTACTAAAACTACAAAGATTAGCTGGGCATGAGGTACAAGAATTGCTTGAACCCAATATAGGCAGAGGTTGCAGTGAGCCAGCACCACTGCACTCCAGCCTGGGTGACAGAGCAAGACTCTGTCTCAAAAAAAAAAACAAAAACCCTATACATATACATATACATAGACACACACTGTGCAGCACCAGATACTTTAATCACAGAGCTTGACCTGTCACAGCCTTGGCCAATCATGTTTTGTGCCACATGACCCCACCTCCTGTTCCACAGCCAACTAGGCTAGAATCTCTGGCCTCAAACAAAGAGGCCCCAGGGAAAACCAGGCAGTTGGCAGAAGGAGCTGAAGGAGAAGTCATGAAAATAATAAAGTTGGGTGAGGGGATTGACAGGTAAAGTCATGAAGAATCAGGCACAACAGGTATAGAGGCTATGAGCAAAAGATACAGAGTAGGGAGAAAGAGAACAAAGCATGTCAAAAATGCAGAGAAACTGTGCAGCTCAAGACAGAGTGATAACTGGCCAGTAGAGATTCTGATTTCTGGCAGCTTTCTTGTTGTCTCATATGTATTCCCTCCTTCAAGGTAGTTTGAAAGAATTATATGACCTGAAGCAGGAAGAAACACTAAGAACACAAATGACTAAAAGGGTTTACACCAATTTTGTTTACGCATTTTAAAAAACCTCCAAAAACCTTTATCATTGAAAGTCTGAGCTAGAAAAGTCCTTGGAATCAGACCAATTCACTATTTTAGAGATGAGGAAATTGAGGACCACAAAGTAATCTAAGGTTTCACAGATAGTGACAGAGCAAGGACAACACTAAGGACTCCTATTTCCATAGCCATTACTGTCTGTCCTACACTGCACTAAATAACACCAACATAGAAACATTTTCCTCAAAACAAGTATTTTCGCAACACGTTTTAGAGTGAGTCAGAAATTTTATGTGCATGTGCCTTTTTCCACAGTTTAAGTAAGTTTTCCACAGTTTAAATAAGTTTTCCACTTATTTATTCTCTGGCTCTCTGTTATGCTTATAAAATACATCCTTAGATTTCTCCTTTTCTTCCTCACATATATTTTAAAAATTAATCTGTCACTAAAGAAATAACACCAGCAATTCATCAGGCCCACTGGCTTTTTCCCCCTACAACTGCGTGTTTTAAAACAGCACTTACTCAGGATTGTTATTGCACATATTGTGTAATAGTGTTTGAACTCAAAGTAGTACAGAGCAGACATTTTAAGTGAAAAATAAACTTCAATTAAGGATCATAGAGATTTCCTTGAAGAAAAATTCATAACCAACGTCAGTAAAATTCAGGAGAAAATAGTGCAAGAACTGAAACTGAAAAGGGACCAATGTGAAATTATCAAGTCATTCCTGACGGAATTTATTGCAGTCACTCAGGGTGTCTTGTGAACAAAAACTACAACTTGTAAAAAAAACACAAATCCCAAACTGGGGAAATTATTAATCAGTGAGAAGATGCAGACAGAAGTAGAAAAAAGTTGACCCAAGATAAACATGGTGAAGCCCAGAGGCAGGACTGTAGAATACCTGGATGCCTACTCTGACGAAACAAACACTTAAGCGCCTCTAAGGATCCCCAAAGGACACAACTGACGGGGAGGGGAGAGGTGAATAAATACTTGCATCTCTAAAGCTGATCCACAGAAAAGCAGAGTCATCAATTTCCTAAGAACAGTCTCAGCCATCTCAAAACAGCAGAAATGAGGAAGACGGCATATGTTAACGAATCTTTTCGTTAGGTTTAAGATAAAGTGAAGAACACAAAACCCAGGTATTAATGACTAAAAAAAGAGAAGCGCCGGAAGCGGTGGCTCACGCCTGTAATCCCAGCACTTTGGGAGGCCGCCCTGAGGCGGTCAGATCACAAGGTCAGGAGACCGAGACCATCTTAGCGAACACGGTGAAACCCCGTCTCTACTAAACATTAGCCGGGAGTGGTGGTGGGCGCCTGTAGTCCCAGCTTCTCGGGAGGCTGAGGCAGGAGAATGGCGTGAACCCGGGAGGCGGAGCTTGCAGTGAGCTCTTGCAGAGAGAGACTCCGTCTCAAAAAAAAAAAGAAAGAAAGAAAGAAAAGAAAAGCACAAAACTCAAGTCCAGAGGCCACTTCGGTCACTTCAGTCATAGCTAATAAAGTATCACAAAGGATCTTTTCATCAAATGAAGTACTAATGACGTTATAGGTCTATATTCTTAATTCTAACAACGTAAACGTGTGTGTTTTGATGGATGAGAAAACTCAGGCTTAGAGCCTTTAAGTAACCAAGATCACCAAGGCAGGCAGTGAGAGAAACCCAGGCAGGATTCGAACCCTCGCTGGCTGAGCCATTCTCATTACCGCCACAGTCAACAATCAACACGGCAGTTTAAGTTCATCCTTACCAGTCACCCAGGAGATGAGTTTTGAAGAGGGAGTTTAAAAGGGGCATCTGACTTTCTCTCTCTCCCAAAGTAGAAGAGAACTGAGCTGTCAAAAACAGAAAAAGAAGTGAGTGCGGTGCCGCCTGGACTCTCCATCCCGCAGCTCCGGACCGAGCCCGCCCCGCTCGACTCGCGCAGCCCCAGCCACGCTCGGTTCCCCGTCCGGGCCAAGGGACCACGGCTGTCAGACGCGGAGGGGCAGAGGCACGGCCCAAAGAAAGGGACAAAGAGCCTTGCCGGCCGCGGCCGGAGGCTGCCGGCCCGTTCCTAAGCCGGGTTTCCGCGGCAGCGGCCCTAGCTGGGCGGGGACCGGGGACGGGGGCGCGGCGGGGGAGGAGCGGCCGCCGAGGCGGAGGGGCTGCGCTAGAGGTGCGGGCCCGGCTGGCAGACTCGCCCCCTACTCACTACCTTGCCGCGGACTTCCCGTCACGGTCGCCGCCGTCACGGAGCTTCTGAGCCGGGGCGACGCAGCGAGAGCTGATAAGCGGGCGTCAGCTGCGTCCCGCACTGGCGAAGCAGCCTCCAGATCGGGCTGGAGAAAGGCCGGGGGGTGGGAGTCGGGACGAGGTTTGTTCCTAGCTTGTGGAGATTTTACTCCGCTCGTCCCTCGCACTCGGCTTCCGCTCCGCCTCCCGGCCGGCCCTTCCCGCACTCGGGGGCCAGCCGCCCACAGCGCGCAGCATTGTGGGGGATGTAGTCTTAGAATGAGGAAGCGGCGACACGTGCTTCCAGCCGCCCTGCACCTACCCTGGATCAGAACGACGCCGTTGCGCGGCAACCAGAGAGGGGCGGGGGGCTCTTCTGTGTTGGAAGATGAGCCCGCCAGAGGCATACCTTCGGCCTTAACTCGCTGCAGGCTCTGGAAGAAGGGTTCTGGCATCTTGTTCCCGACCCTCCAGTGAGAAACCAACCTCCCAATACCGTTGACCTGAGGCTGGAAAAGCTTAATGATGATTAAGTGTGCTACAGATGAGAATACCCATCATTGCAGCCGAAAGTCCTTAGCCAGTGGAGTGAGGCAAGAAAAATGAAAGGATTGAAGATTAAATAGGAAGAAACAAAATTATTTTTTCATAGATGATATAATTATGTACGTGGAGGCCGGGCGCCGTTGGCTCATGCCTGTAATCCCAGCACTTTGAGAGGCCAAGATGGGAGGATCACCTGAGGACGGGAATTCGAGACCAGCCTGGCCAACATGGTGAAACCCCGTCTCTACGACAGATACGAACTTAGCCGGGCGAGGTGGCGGACGCCTGTAATTCCAGCCTCCCGGGGGGCTGAGGTGGGAGAATTGCTTGAACCCAGGAGGCGGAGGTTGCAGTGAGCTAATATCGCACCACTGCACTCCAGCCTGGACGACAAGAGCAGAACTCCGTCTCAAAAAAAAAAAAAAAAAATTATGTTTATGGCACTTCAAAACAATCTGCAGATAAACTTAACAATAAAAGAGTTTAACAAGGTTAATAGATACAAAAATCATATTTTTAAAAATCAATATTTATATATGCCAGTAAAAAAGATAATTTTTTTAAAGATACCATTTACAGCAGCTCCAAACAAATATCAAGTACCTAGGGATAAATAGATCAAAGAAATGCAAAACCTGCCTGAAAAAAACATTGAAAGACCCTGAAGAAGACCTAAATAAAGATATAACATGTTCATAGATTGGAAGAGTCAATACTGAAGAACGCCAGTCTCTCCAAACCTACCTACAGAGCCAGTGCAATTCCCAACAAAATCTCAATAAATGTCTGTGTATGTGTGAGAAACTTGACAAGCTAATTTAAAATGCGATGGAAGAGCAAAGACAAGCATTCATGAAGAAGAGGAGGAAGAAAAAAAAAAAAAGAGGAGAAGGAGTGGGAGGAGGATAACTTGTGCTACCAGATAACAAGCTTTATTATAGAGTAGGCATGGTGGCCCATGCCTATAATCCCAGCACTTTGGGAGGCTGAGGCAAGTGGATTGCTTGAGGCTGGAGTTCAAGACCAGCCTGGGCAACATGGCAAAACCCCATCTCTACCCCCACAAAAAAAAAAAAAAAAAAAAAAAAAAAAAAGTCAGTTGTGGTGGCATGCACCTATGGTCCCAGCTACTCAGGAGGATCACTTTGAGGCCAGGAGGTAGAGGCTGCAGTGAGCCATAATTGTGCCACTGCACTCGGGCAACAGCAAGACTCTTCCTCAAAAACAAAACAAAACAAAAACAAGCTTTATTTTAAAGCTGTCAATCTAAATAGTAGGACCTCTAAAAGAAAAAGACATTCATTTGAGAATAGGGCGTTACAATGGGAATACACATGCCACAGTAAACTCTGTGTGTATTCAGGGAGGTAAAGGAAGACAAAGAAAAAATAAGAAAGATTAAATCAATTGCTTTAAAATTATTATGCTTGGCTACAAAGATCAATAATAAGGGTGACTCCAGTTCTAGGCTGAACAGGCAGTTGCTGGGCAGATGTCCACACAGAAGTACTTGTTGTGTAAGGTTGCAGTGGTCTTTGTGTACGGCTGTGGTTTTTGCAGAGTCTTTTGCAATAGTTTAGTTATCAGGCATACACGTGTGAAAGCCTTCCCTTCTTAGCCTTCCCCAGCTCTGTCATGGTGTTTTGTTTTTTAACACAAGTGACTCCATTTTGATTCTGACAATTTTCACATTTCCCTTTTTCGATCAAGATCTTTCTCAGAATGCATCACTGATCAGTCATTTTGTAGTTACATTCTGATGTCCCTGGAGGCCTGGTTGCTGGTTTCTTCCCACATTGTGGGGAGTGATTGGTGATGAGGAGTTAGTGTCAAAAACCATTTAGCCACATTTAGGCAATAAGGGAGGTTTGAAGAAAATGACTCTCAGGCTAAGTCTACCTGGGGTTTATTATTAAGGTCTATAGTCTTTTGCTGTCATCTCAAAGTGCTGGCCCAGCATTATTTTGTTAAGACCTATACTTCTGCAAAAATTTAACAAGTAACATACAAATTTTTTATTATTATTATTTTTTTTTTTTTTTTTTTTTTGAGACGGAGTCTCGCTCTGTCGCCCAGGCTAGAGTGCAGTGGCCGGATCTCAGCTCAATGTAAGCTCCGCCTCCCGGGTTTATGCCATTCTCCTGCCTCAGCCTCCCGAGTAGCTGGGACTACAGGCGCCCGCCACCTCGCCCGGCTAGTTTTTTGTATTTTTTAGTAGAAACGGGGTTTCACGGGGTTAGCCAGGATGGTCTCGATCTCCTGACCTCGTGATCCGCCCGTCTCAGCCTCCCAAAGTGCTGGGATTACAGGCCAAATTTTAAAAAAGGAAAAATATAAAGTAAAATGATAATCTCAGTTTGCTTAGTAGTTTTGAGCCATGAATTAGGCTTAACCAGCTGAATAAATGAAATTACCATAGAGGATTAAGTGAGACCTGTTGTAACAGTTTCATAAACCCATCAGTTTTTTAAGTGTGCATGAGAATGAGCAATCAAATGTAGCTGGTTGGAGAGTCCCAGAAAACTTGGCATGCCTTAATGTTTGAAAATCCTAGGCAGAGTACAGTGGCTCACACTTGTAATCTTGACACTTTGGGAGGCTAAGGCAGGAGGATCTCTTGAGGCCAGGAGTTTGAGAAGCCTGAGCAACAGAGTAAAACACCGTCTATACAAAACAAAACAAAACAAAAGTAGCTGGGCATGGTGGCATGCACCCATAGTCCTAGCTACTTGAGCCTAGGGGTTCAAGGCTGCAATGATCTATGACTGCATCACTGACCTCCAGTCAGGGAGACAGAGTAAGGCTCTGTTTCTAAAAAAAAAAAAAAAAAGAAGAAGAAGAACGAAAAGGAAAAGAAGAAAAAGAAAAGAGAAATTAGGAAAACCCCATTACATTACTTATCAATCTCTCAAGACCAAAGAAAATTATCAATCTTGTTAGAATGTCAGAAGTTTGGACCAATGTATTTGATGGTAGCAACCACTCTAGTGGCTTTTATCTAGCCATCCTGTGTCCATCATTTAGAATGTGTCCATTCTAAAAGAATGTTTATTTTTGTTCTCAGAAGATTTTCAGAAACAAGCAAGGGAAAAGAGCTAAATCAGTTGTACATAACCAAAATAAAACCAAGAGTGTTCATAAAAAAATTTTAACCCAGGCATGTGCATCAGACAAAATATTAAAGTAGTCACACAGACCAAAAGTAAATTCATCAGAAAAGACATGCCTCACAGACAGAATGGAAATTGTGTAGAAATCAGAAAAGACTTACCAGAAAATACAAAAAGTCTTTGTTTAATCCCAGGAGGGATGTAAAGTCCCTTATTTAGGGCTGCCTTATTCGAATCAGACCCCAAATAAAGTCAAGAGCTTCTAGCATAAAGAAGGAGGCATGGTATTAGAGAAGACTCATCAGGGTAGAAAAAGTGAGCCATGGAAGCAGAGAACTGAAATGGCTTAAATGAGTACGGCACCAGATTCAAGAACTGCCAATTCCTTGTGATAGTGATCTTTTTTCAGGTCCTGTTTCTGGCACCATTTATTTCAACCTAAATAACAGAGAGAGGCTCTCTAAAAGAAAAATATTTTTATTTGGGAATAGGGCATTGCAATGGGAATACACATGCCACAGTAAACTATGTGTGTATTCAAGGAGGTAAAGGAAGACAAAGGTTTTTACAGGAAAAATTAGGGGCATTACATAATTGTTTTGAAATTATTATCCTTGCCTACAATAATCTACAGTAACAAGGGTGGCTCCGGTCTGAGGTTAGACAGACAGTTGCTGAGCAGATATCCTCATAGAAGTACGTTTTGTGTAAGTTTACAATGACCATAGTTAATGTTGTGATTTTCTGGAGTCTTCTCTGGTAATTTTGTTATCAGGCATGCAAGTGTGAAAACGCTCTCTTCTTAGCTTTCCTGGCTGTATTTCTCAGGGTGTTTCGGGGTTTTTTACACAAGTGATTCCATTTTGATACTGTCAACTTTCATAGTAATTAAGGCAGTGTGGAAGGAGATCAAGAATAGACAAATCTACCAGTAGTACAGAATAGAGAGCCCAGGGATCTGGGTGTGGTGGTGCACACCTGTAAATCCAGCTATTTGGGAGGCTGAGGCAGGAGGATCACTTGGGCCCAGGAGTTTGAGACTAGCCTGGCAATGCAAAGCAACACCTAAACAACAGTTTTCAATGATTAAATGGTGCTGGAACAAATAGTGCTCTATTTGCAAAAGAAATGAAATTGGACTCTTCACATTATACACCAAAGTCAATTTCAGATGGCTAACAGACACTTTTTTTTTTTTTTCCTAAGAGACAGGGTCTCCCTTTGTTGCCCAGACTGAAGTGATCATAGCTTACTGCAGCCTCAAACTCCTGGGCTCAAGCAACCCTCCCAAGCAGCTAGGACTACAAGCATGTGCCACCAAGCCCGAGCAGTTTTTTTTAACAGACGGGATCTTGCTGTGTTGTCCAGGCTGGTCTCAAACTCCTGCCTCGGCCTCCCAAAGTGCTGGGTTACAGGTGTGAGTCATGATGCCCAGCTGAGACATAAATATTACAGGCAGAAGAATGAAGCTATGTAGAAGCAGACTTTAACGTAAGAAGAAAAAAAAAGGAATAATGCTTTTATTGTTTTTAAAGATAATATAACAGTATA